AGGCTGACTTAATTATTAAGTTGGTTTGGCAGATTTGGTTAATTTAGTTGACGCAATTGCGTAAAAGGCCTCCCTCATATGCGGGTTCGAATCCTCCGAATGCCGCGAGTTTTTTCACAATTGGGTCAACTAAATTAACCAAATCTGCTAAAACAACTTAATAAAATATAAACGTCCAAAAAATCAATATTTATCTGAGGTGCACACTGATTGGCAGGATCATGTCAGTCTGTGCTAGTAGGCATTACATGCATTTCATCCCTCCGCTGTGGTTGGTTGCGCGCATGCAATTTGTGATGCAGTTTATTGTGGCCAAACTGGGAAATGCGCCTCAACCCGCATACACTTACATCAATCAGCGGTCAGAAAACGACACCATTCATCCCAGGTGGCCATACACACACACTGGAAACCGGCCACGAATTCGCAAGGGAGAACGCACGGATTGTTGGCACTTATCCAACTAGAAAGGGCCATGAATTCCTGGAAGCAATGTAGGAGGCATGAGTCAACAGGCATATCGATTCGGACGCCAACTATAATCACCTCAAGGCCAAATTCAATGCACGCCACCAACCACGGCGAAATGATGAAATGCACGCAACGCCAACTAGCGCAGACTGACATAATCCTGCCAGCCGGTGTGCACCTCTGAAAAATATTGATTTTTCTGGACGTTTAAAAATTTTAATTGTTTGTTGCACATTTTCTCAGGTCTGAAGACGAGCGGAGGAACCTGTCCGGAACGTTTACACAATAAAGCTTCAGCCTTCCCAAAGAAGCCTTTCCCTTCTTAATTTTTGTATCTTGGGATGCTTGTAGTTCAATTTACTGTATATACTCCAAAAGGAAGTACATTGGCTAACTGCAAAGAAGAAGGGGGAGCGGCCCACCTGTAATGGAAAGTTTCGCCGACCATTGGCAGGCGCCACTCAGGATGCTCTGTTGCACCTCCTGCAGTCGGGCCTTTCGTTCCTCTTCGGCCAGGTCTATCTTGAAGATGTCGAAGATGGTGTCAAAGATCTCCGGCCTCTCCTCCAACCGGCGTTG